GGCTGTTGATGTGATATGATGATTTAAGTAACTACTTATATAGATTGTATAAAATCGAAAATCGATCGAAGTGGCGTGTAATAGGAGAGGCCTACTAGTAGGTATGTCCAGCTGTGGACTGCTATATGCTGATGATGATAAGTACTTATATACAATTGTGAAGTTAGTTTGTGAACGCTTCAAATACTCAAAAATTTCTGAACTGATTGAGTTCTTTGGTGCGACATGGTTTTTATCTATTTGTCGTTAGTTTTGTTAATAGTTTTTCATCAATGCAACGACACTTAGCCACAGCGAAGCGTGGCTGGGTACGGCTAGTACTACTTATATAAAATATATATATTGGTAATATTGGACGAGCCTATTGGTCTAGCGGTTAGTGACCCTGACGTCTTCGTCGGAGGATGTGGGTTTGATTCCCACCAAGGACAAATAATTGTGTTATGAGCACGAGTATTTGTTCCATGTCTGGATGTAATTAATCTATACAAATAAATAAAATTAAAGTGTCTGTTTGTAATGTCAAAATAATAGGATTTTTTCATGCTCACACGGTTATTTGCTCGATACCTGTGCCTAAAAACCAGTTTGTTTTGCCTGTCTGTCTGTTTGCTCTGGGTAATCTTCTAAACGGCTAGACTAATTTTAATAATATTCTACTACCAGGTAGCTGTCTATATAAGGAGTAACTTAGGTTATGTTTCCTCTCAGGAAAGCCTTTTAAAAAAAATTCCGGTCCAGGATCGAACCCACTAAGGCAGCGCTTTGCAAGTTCCACGGACGATCGAACGGGTCCCAGCTAGTCTATAATATGTAAGTATATATTTAGAAATAGTATATATTCAGTATGTTTATCAGCAGTCAAATTACCACAGCAGCACAGGCTCTGCCTAGTTTGGGATTAGACTGCCGTGTGTGAGATGTGTAAAGTTATTATTATTCTAATACACATTATTCACTAAGTATCGGAAAAACAATCCCAATGGAACCAAAGTACGTTACCTAATAAATAAAAGCAAAATAAAAAGTATGCTGCCCGCGCAAAATACAAAAAATGAGGGTTTTGAAAACCAAAAAACATTTCTACTCGTAGACGTAAATATTACCCAACTGTCGGTTACCTAGACGTATTACACCCTCTTTGTTGCGTTTCACATTATTGACCGAATTTCCATAGAAAAACGCTCTGGAAGTTTTCTAAAAGAACATAATAAGCAATGCTTACCTACAATTGATTTGGGTTTAGAATATTTTATTTGCAATATCGACCAAAAATACCTATCTATCTTTTATACACTAGCTCTTCACCGCTATTTTAATTTAAACTAGCTTATACCCGCGGCTTAGCCCGCGTGTATGTCGGTTATTGCTTTAAAAATATCCGAATCGGTTCAGCGGGTTTTGATATTTTCTGGGAGAGAAACTATCTAACTATGTCCTTTCGCGGCACTCTAACTTTCTCGATATCAAATTTCATTTAAATTAGTTCAGCGGTTTAAGCGTGAAGAGGAGGAGGAGACAGAGAGACACACTCCCCGGTTCATCAGCAGAGGGATGACTAAACTGTAACGTGGAAAGTGTTAGATATGCGCGTTGAAGAGTCCAAGGGAAGAGGAAGGCCAAAGAAAAGGTGGATGGAATGTGTGAGAGAGTATATGGCTAGGAAGGGAGTAAAATGACGAATGATAGATTAGATTGGAAGAATAATACCTACATACTGCGCCGACTTTAAATAAAATACGGAAAAGTATGGACGATGATGATGGTTCATCACCAGGTCAATGGCAAGGTGTTATCCACTCGAGCCAATTAAAATCACGATATTCCGTCAAGTCCTTATATCAGATTCGGTCGGCAAGTTAGGTATACATACCTTAAACATGAGACTTAGACGGGAGACTAAGCCACCTGTTCATCAACTGCCGACCCCACTATTTAATGCAAGAGCCTTGTCCGCTCCGACATATAGAGGCGCTCACAAAACACGTCTCGACTCCGAGTTCCTCTCCTCCGCCTCTTTCCGTGAGATGACGTCCTCGTAGAAGGATACGAACTCGGTAGGAACCTTCTTACCCTAACCTCACTTATAGAAAGAGAAAACACTAGGTAATAGTACTGTCGAACCATAACCTGAAATTTAAGCAGAGAATTTATATCTTACTATATTCATTTGATACAAATGTAAAAATAATACAATACTTCTATCTATCTAAGCAGCCTGTTGCACCCACTGCTGGGTAAAGGCCTCTTCTTTATCACGCCACTCATGGTGGTTTTGTGCCAGCCTGATCCATTGCTCTCCTACGGCCCTCACAATGTCGTCTGACCATCGGGTGATCTGCCTCGAGGCCGCCGGATATCTCTTGGTTATCATTAGGTTCCTACCTTAGTCCATCGGTGATCATCCTGCTGGCCAAGCGCCCCGCCAATCTCCACTTAAGCTCGCAATCCGTATACTCATATCCTCGACTTATACAATACATACAAAATTAAATTTATGAATATTCCTAAACTTAACAAAGTTGTCAAATGAAAATCATGATGTCAAAACTATTTTACCTATACAAAACACTTCAATTATGTATTAAAACTCTGCCAATTGTGTGTAAACATTCGAAACTTCTAAATTGTGTCAACACTTTGTGACAATTCTGATAGTTTATAAGTATAGAATTCCCATGAAATTATTGTAAATAGTTTTGATGTTAAACGAACTATGACGTCTAAAATGAAAAAAGTTAATGATTGTCGCAATAATGTAACTAACATGCAAATTCCAATTGTTGGTAATGACCTTCAGACCAATAGATTTTATAATGCTTTGGTGTAAGGCTGCCCAAAAAACACTTCAAAATATGTACCATAAGAAGAACTGGTAAATGACACTTCAAAGATTTCTTTTTCCTAAAAGACAACTCCGCACTAGGAATATATATATATGTGTCGGACTCAAAAAACACCCAGGCTCACAGACTCATGAAACAACAATTTGTGGATCACATAAAGTGTTATCCCATGTGGGGAAAGAGCCCACAACACTTAGTGCAGTAGGAAGCGGAGAGGTAACCGCTTAAACTACTACAGCCTTTAATAGTCCTCTGTTGGACAAAGGTCTCTCCTTAGAAAGGAGGTTTTGGCCTACTATACCACGCTGGCCACACGGGTTGGTATAGGGTTTGTTTGAAGTTTTCCTTCTCTTTGCAGTGCTGTCCCGCGTAGTTTGCTCTCTTTGTCGGCTCTTACGACAGCTCTTAAGAATAGGAGTGGTGACACTCCGTATTCTTAATCCACCACATGGACAAGTTTTCTTTCAGAAGAAACTTGCACTTGAAGCAGCCATCGGGATGATACAAGGTCTTCAGTGCAGCTCTGCAGGTTGGCGGTAAGACAGATGTGTTTAAGGAAATTCCGGGGACGAACTCTGTTGCAGAGTGCTACTGCATTCGACTACTAGCAGTTCAATTAAAACAAATATTACAATTTATAAATATGTCTATTTTGCATTTGTCTGGATGTGTCTGTGTATAACATCTGTATTTAGACCAAAATAATATTTATGTATGTTTACACGTGGTCTACTTTTGCCTCGACAATTTGAGGAACAAGTTTTCGTCTGCGGTATTTCTCGACGAACTTCAAATATTATTAAATACTATTATATTATTCTAAAATATTATTTGCCATACATATACAGGTATCAAAAAGGAGATCTAGTGAAAACAAGGAAAAGAGAGTAGACAGAATGGGAATGCGTGCGTGTATATTTTTTTACAACTCTCGTGTTAGGAATATATCCTGTGTCGCTGGCGACTATAAACATACATGAAACGAACACAAAGAACACCCAGACTCAGAACAACAATTTGTGCAACACACAAAGTGTGGTCCCCGTGGTCCTGTGCTAAGTGTTGAAGCGGTGACCGGTAAAGCCCATCAGTCATGTAAATATAAATTCATAGTATTTCACGGCAAAAAATGATAAAATTTCATTAATTTACGCTTTAATCTCATCCGGGTAGGTGGAGAAGAGCCGAATAGAACTATATTTGCTACGATCCTGAAATACACCTCGCGCCTCTTTCATATTCATCAATCAGGGTTTTCAATCAATCTTACGTATTGTTTTTCTTTTTACTAAATAATCAACTTTACCGCTACAGTTTAAAAAGAAACATTCACACATATACAAACATCAGTAGTGTGTGTGAGAAGTTGAGACGTCCACCATTTTATATTCCACTTTTTAAATTGACTATATCCGTCATGCAACGGTCTCAACAAAGAGCCAATTGAACTACATTCGCAAGACTTGAATCTTTTTTAATCTTTCTACGTTTGCTAAGATAATATTTTGCCACTGCTTTTTATACAATCGTGAGTTTTAAATTGAAAAATAAAAAAACACTTTTATGTCAAAACAATTTTGTTTAGCTTGCTTTAATGCTTAAAATTCTAGAGAATTCATTAAATTTTCCGAATTTTACGACATCTTATCAATATTCTGCGTTTCTTATGGAAATAAAAGATTTTATTGAATTCATTGAACTGTTAGATAACATTATCGCTTACAGTGTTGAGGAGACGCGATTTGAGTACACAATGGAAGAACACAGTTTTAGATTACAAACACTGTTCTTGTTAGAAAGATCAAAAGAATTTTTTTGGAAACGAAAATTTGGAGGTTTTTTACTCGATATTTTTTACAGAATGCTACATCACTTTTAAGAGCTAAGGCAATAAACTCTAGCCCACAATAAAAACAATTCAAACTGTACGTTTCTATCTAGATTTTAGGATATTTATACGTCGAAATATAATTAAATCAAAAATATCGAGCAAGCATTGTAACATGTAGCCTTTTCATTATTAGTATAACCTATATAAATTACCATAAACATACATACAACTTTAGTCCCAGGCGAATATAATATATATCGGAATGTCTCATAGCACGACTTAGTGTCAAACAAGCCGCGGTCACAGACAGGCTCTTGATAAACATGCATACCCTGGCAGTTTACGGTGTCGTACTCACAATTATCAACATCGACGCTCACATTATCCCAGATAGTTACGCGAAACAACGGAATGCACTTCTTGACGAAGAAATACTCACGGCTGTAGGTGGGAAAATACATCTCACAGAAGATGAAATCCTCGCCAACGAAATCCTCATGAAATGGAAGCATAAGGAGTTGGATGATTCGTTAAAAAACCCGCAATATTTTAACTTTTCGAAACATTATTTTACGTACAAGACAGATATAGACAAATCAAATGTTTATCAGATTATAAGGAGTATGCCAAAAGGGGCAGTGTTACATGTCCATAGTTCCCTAATGTTGGATCCCAGTGTGTTAGTGAAGCTTACGTACATGGAGCATCTGTATGTATGCTACTCAGACGGAGATTTGAGTCTACAGTTCTCCGAATCCATCCCAGCCCGACCTTGCAAAACTAATTGGGCACTTGTCAGTGATCTCAGAAGATTATCCGGTGACGCCTTGACTTTTGACGATGAATTGAAGAGTCATTTTACGCTATTTAAAGACGACGACGAAGATTACAGTAAGGTTGATATTAACACAGTGTGGAAAAGATTTGAAAAAGTGTATCAAGCTATCAAGTCTCTTATAAGTTACAGACCAGCAAGAGAAAAATACTGGTATGAAACGTTGAAGCAATTTTACGAAGATAACGTAATGTACATAGAGGTACGCACAGGCCTTTCTAATGTTTATGAACTGGATGGGTCCAAACATCCTAAAAAATACATGGTGGAACTTTACCAACGAGTTACAAACGCCTTTATTGATGAATACCCCGAATTTGTAGGCATTAAGTTGATAGTAACAAGGCATAGAGCTCAAAGTGTGGATCAAGTACTGGAATCTCTTAACTTAACCAGGAAACTAAAGTCAGAAATGCCTGAAATGATCGCAGGGTTTGATTTAGTGGGACAGGAAGATTTAGGAAAACCTTTAACCCATTTTCTCCCCATACTATCTGAAGCAAAGAATGATATAGATTACTATCTACATGCAGGTGAAACTTCTTGGTTGGGGACTTCAACAGATGAGAACTTGGTTGATGCTATTCTTCTCGGATCGAAGAGGATTGGACATGGTTACGCATTGACGAAGCACCCGACTTTGCTGGATGTTGTCATCAAAAGAAATATTGCTTTGGAAGTTAATGTGATATCAAATGTAGTGTTATCTTTAGTGACAGATGTGAGGAACCATCCTTTAGCGTCTTACTTAGCTATGGGTCTACCAGTCGTGTTGTCAAGTGATGACCCTGGAGCGTGGAGTTCAAAACCTTTGTCTGAAGACTTTTTTGTTGCTTTCATGGGTGTTGCAAGCAAGAGAGCAGACTTGAGGATGCTCAAACAGCTGGCCCTTAACTCTATCGTTTATAGTGCATTAGACGAAGGAGGTAGGATTAAATTAATAAAGATTTTCGAAAAGCAATGGTTGGATTTTATCAGAGATGTTATTTCAAATGAAACGTTAATATGGGAAAGTTATGTGTGAAATACTTGACATACTCGTACATTGAACTTATTTTCTCTAGTTTTTGATAGTTGACATAAGACTGGGATTTGAGCAGGCTCTACACTGATGCCACATTGTATATAGATATTATCTTGTAGTATGTTTTCATTAAGAATTTTTGATAGTTAAAATAGAACGACATTGAACTTAACAAATATCTCACAATTATTTCCCAACCTGGCATAAAAAAATAAATCATAAACAATATTGTAAGTAAAATACATTATTTCACTTGTAAGTCAAAATATTCTCCGTACTTCTCTATGGATTTAAAGCGATATTATCCGATTTTTAAGTGCATTTAAGTCATAATAAGTAATATTCTCTTCTGTAGTAAACATAGTTACTAATTTATAAGTTATTGACAGATTAATACATTAATATCAATTTTGAAAGCGATGCTTTTACACATAAACTTCATGTAAAAAATGCTCCATAAAGTGGTTTTATTGTGATTGTATTCATTTGTTGTTACAACTGAATCACATAAAATCACTATATTTATTTTACTTGTGTGATGGTTTGTTACATATTTTTTTCATTAATTACTTGGGTATAGCACCTTACACGTTAATAATTTATATACGAATATTTCAGCTTATAAAACCAAAATTCGATTAACCATATTATAGATTTTTTATGTAAAAAGCCACTTTCAGTAATAGACTAATTAACAAGAAAGAAAAATTTGTAAGTTTTTTCTTTAGTCGGACTAAGATTCTAACCAAAAACAATACTTTTTTAAGAATAAAAATGTACAATAAAGTTTAAGTAAACCAAATAAAATCAAAAACAATTTCAACTAAAACCAAGTTAGTTACTTACAAGTAGTTTAAAGAAAACGGATTTAAAGAAAAAAACTATTTAGATAGGTACTATATTGTATAAAATAAATAATAATTTAGTTGTATATTCTTGGCATTTAGTACGTAATTTTTATGTATTTTTTCCAAATGAGACTTCCTAATAATGTTTCTGTGAACAAAATTCAGAATTTTTCTAAATTCAAATTTTTTTACGCGGTCATAGAGTTTTACAGGTAACATAATTAAAACTATTTTATATTTGATTTCATGACAGTAATATATTTTGACACAAATGTATATGTAGCATTGCAGCTTTTAAATATTGAAAAGGGTCAAAACCTTAAGGTCTATATTCCCTTGGACTATAAGAGATAATGTTTTCAAAAATACAACAGTTGACAGTTTGACACATAGGTGACTATGTATGTACTATGTACACAAAGCTAGGTACAGTTTATAAGTTTCTTATTACAACACAAAACATGATGTATGACACGATTGACCCAATCGTGCTTAAACTGCTGATATTCAAACATTTGTGTTTGTTTTGCTTCCCAAAACATGGACGTCTAACGATTGATAAATGTTATGCAAACATTTTATACAGTTGCTTTGTCAACTTCCGTTAATGATTTATTTATGTATTTACTTTACATATAAGTAAATATCAAAATACTTCAGCTTTTCTGAACTGCTTTCGTCATAATAATACATAAATACTCTTTTACGGCCCTGATGGTGTAGTGATTAGTGACCCTAACTACTAAGCTAGTGGGTATATGTTAAATTAAAACATAATTATGTTTCCAATAAAGAAAATGTTACTTAAGTTTGAAATATTATTTACACACCTTAAAAGGAAATATTCCCGACAAAATTGTTTAAATTTCCATAGAAATATGTCTGTATATCTAGTAATATAAAAAAATAAATGTTACTGATATACGTTACTCATTAGATTGTGTGGCATAAATAAATATTATAATTTTGTTCAATAGTACATCTTAAACATATCTTGTTTCGTATTTTATTAACCTTCAGCTGTAAATTGATGTATTACAAAACTGAACTATAACAAAACATTAGTTTCACCATAGTTTATGACAAAGTAGCAAAAACTTAACCCTGTTACGAAATTGTTATGAACCGAAGGTCTGACATCAGTTGAGTAATTTTCATTATACGTGGAACAGTGCACTATCTGAGACATAATAACCTTGCACAAGGGTTCAATAAAGTTCAAATAACTTCATTGTTGGTTGCTATTGTTGACACTGTATTGGTAATAACCACGCCTATTGTTGATAGCGTACGACACAACAATGCTGCAATGAAATGCCTGTAACTTGTGATTTTACGATAGAGATTTCGATTTACAATATTATACATGCGAAAGCAAATTTTATTAAGTGCAAGTGTCTTTGTTAGTAATGGAATCACGCCTTAACTAATTAACTGAATATCGTAACTATTTTAATACACATTGACAAGGGCACAGAAAAGAAGAAATTTTATCTTACACCTTTTTTGCACCCTTTCATCCCTTACATAATTTAATGCTAAAATTTAAGTCTTATTTTACTTATTTAGTTATTAATGGAGACTTTAGACTGTTAAACGATCCTACAATTACTGCACGGATGGCGTAGTGGTTTAAGCGGTCACCACGCCGTTTCCTACTTCGCTGAGTGTTCGATCCCCACATGGAACAACACTTTGTGTGATCCAAAAATTGTTGATCTGAGACCGGGTGTTCTTTGTGTCCGTTTCATGTATGTTTGTAAAGTCCCCGCGACATAGGATATATTCCTAATGCCGGAGTTGTCTTTTAAAATAAATAAAAATAAAACAAACAAAAAAACTCTCTTTGTGGGTGCTTACTACTTATAAGCATCAGCTGCCAAAATTTCAAGTTTGTAGTTAGTCAAGGCAAGTGGTTTTATAAGTATATATATATATATATATATGTATAAAGAGATTTACGATTAGAGACCCCGTAACCGTTTTATTATACTGGTGTAGGCATTTGACTTTAGATATGATATCAAATTGATTTTCTGATAATGTAACACTGTAACACTGTACTGTAAATACACTATGCATCCTTTCGAAACCATTTTACAACGGTAAAGATAATAAATTGGTGTAAGACAGACCACGATTGACAGCGAATGTTTGTTTACAAACAGTTGACGTCATTATGTCTTGTCATTAACATTTAGTGTCATTGTCTATTTATTCCGTGGGTGTCGTAAGAGCTGACTAAGGTAGCAAAACATGCAGGACAACAGCACTGCAAGAGGGAAAGAAAACTGATACCTAAATATCGGGGCCAGCGTGGTACAGTCGGCCAAAACCTCCTTTCTAAGGAGAGCCCCATGTCCAGCAGTGGACTGTTAAAGACTGTTGATGATGATGATATTTTTACTAATTCAAACTTCAATGTTCTTTTATAGAAAACAGAGAAATTTATTAAAAGTTTGCTTATTTTAAGTGTATTCATGAGTATATTCTATAAGCATTAATTGATTAATAAGTTATTATTTAACTCGCCTGTTAATCTTGGGGTTAGTGACTGACTGCTGAATTAGAAGTCGCGGGTTCAGTTCCCACCTAGGATAAAAATGATGTGTGAAGAATACGATCATTATTTGTTCTGTGCTTGGGTGTAATGTATCTATAAAATGTATTTATGTATTTAGAAATATGTAATTACGTTTAGCAATTGATTAAATTACGATAGGCTCAGGCCCAATTTGTAACCCTTCGAGCCGATTATATTATTTTAACTTAGGTTAAATATTCATTGTAAATATAAATTAAGTGTGTAAGTTTGTACATATCATGTAGACAAAAGAGTAAGTGATATAATATTCTTTTTTTTTTAAATAGCTTTCTGATTTTTCATTTCTAACACCTAATTATAAATTACCTACAGACAGGTGCATTTAATTTACGAGTCACTGGTAAGTAGAAAATATTTTACAATTATCTACAATAACTTTACTTATGTTTTGTGTTTAGGATAGAGTTACGAGACAGTTTTTTAAACTTTGGTAAAATGAATTTCATTGACGACTTTAATTTAATTGCAAGTATCACACACTTATAGCTGAATCGCAGGAAGGACGTAACTCTGACACGCATTTTAAAATAAATAATAAAAATAATAATCGTGTAAGTTTAAAATTATGGAGGATGAGGGAGTTAGGCTAACAGCGCAAAGCGCATGATAGGGAAAGCCGACCCCGCGTAACGGAAATGGAAGAGGGCAAAGAAGAAGTGTAAGTTTAAAATGTTTTTTTTTTAATTTGTATTAATTTTATTTTTTAATTATCTCTGATTCTCATAAAAGTAGACGGGATGTGTAATGTTAAAGATTTGACTGCACGGATGGCGTAGTGGTTCAAACGGTTACCTTACCGCTTAAGCTGAACACTGATAATCTAACAACCTAAGCGCCTACTGCGCTTAGTGCTATGGGTTCGGATCCCACATGAGACAACACTGTATGATCCACGCATTTTTGTTCTAAATCTGGGTGTTCTTTGTGTCCGTTTTGTGTATTTTTGAAAGTCACACAGCACACAGCGACACAGGTTAAATTCCTAATGTGGGGGAAACTTCTTTCACCTGGTATTTCCCAAAAAAAACGCATAACAGGAAATCAGAGAAGCTATGGGTCGTCCGACGCACAAAACGTCTTCGGCATGTAAACTTTCTGCAGAGAGAAATGACCTTATAATATCAATATCTGGTAGCCATAAATAGCTACGAGAATAATAAATAGCTAGAAACAATATAACTTTGACGGTACTCGTAACTTTGATAGGCCTTTTTTTTTTCCGTGCGGAAATCCCCTCGGATACCACCTGTCGGTGGCATGTCGGACACGAACCGACTAAAACCGCACGACGTCTCGGGTACTAATAGCCGGGGAACCAGGTATACCCTAGAAAGGAAGTCCCTGGTACCCCGACATACCTCGGGTCATCTACAGACGAGTAGACGACCCCCCCCGTGTGGGAACCCCATGTTCCCTGTGCTCCCTGGAAGCGAGCGCGCTTCGCAACGCGCTCGCCGCCACCCCGGCCTGCTTCTGCTAGGGTCACAGATGGCCTCACCTGTCACCCCCAGGCCTGCGCTTATGGAGGACGGAGGTCGTTCCGCGAC